GCGTACACCAACGTCCAGCTTCTCATGTACGCTCCACCATGGGTTGCTACCCCACTTACGCCCCCGAGTAGACCTATCTGCCGAAAGTTTGGCCAACAATTCCTTACTGCTTTGTACTCGCCTCTCTCCAATCGAAACAAGGCATTGTGCGTGCCGCACATCTAGCTCCGTAGTTTCTGCGTGGTTGGTCCGGTCGTTCAGCTTGCTCGACGCGAGTAATTAGCTTTGCTTTGATTGTGGAGGTCAGGATATGGAGATTCAGGGAGCACAGATACACGTACATAAAGAGTAGGGTCTCAGGGAATAAGCGATAATAGATTACTGTTCTCCGAGGGTCCCCGACTCTTATGACCCCCAACGGCTGCGAAGAGTTGATGGATCTTTAGGAAAATGGGAAAAGAAGTCCACGAAGGCTCGCCCACTCTCCGCACCACCCTAGCTTGATTGAGTTCGCTCGGTCACGCTTGGCATTCCTCGCCACATTGTACCAAAGGAAATAGCCAACCTCCGGAGTTGTGGTGGCTATGTTTTATTGTTCCACTTCATGCAACAAACAACCCCCCGCCCTCCGCCGTCCATACAGTGGGGGGGGGGGGGCATTAGGTGCCGGCAGACAAGTGCCAGTGCCCCGTACAGTGCCGGTGCATTCGGCCGGCACAGATTGAATCGCACGGTCGTTCTGTACTTTGACAAGTGCCGGTGTACGGTCTAGTGCCGCTCAGTGTCTGGGCACGTACCGGCAGTAAACAGGGCCACCCACTGTATACACACGGCAGGACTGAGGGCAACGAAAATCGTCATACTATCGTACTGCTGCTGTGATTCCTACCATGCGCGTCCAAATACGGTTCACGATGAAAGTGTGTGTGCTCGCAGTCACCTGCTGCGCTATGAGTCCATATGCGTTTACGTGAGGTTCTTGTGAGGGTGACAAAAGAAGGAGAGGATCCAGTTTTGCACGAAGCACGCAAACGACAAGCGCACATACGTGCACTGCTGCAACCACACGCCGCGGCGCCTCGGAGGGTATGGTGACTGCCCGTTTGTTCCCGTCTCAGAGAAAGATTGCACTCCGGAACCGAAAGGCGGTACTACCCCGGAGGAGAACTCGACCCACCGATTCCAAACGAACAACATACGTCCTTCTGTCTTGATTTCAGATCCCGTTTCGAACGCAATGCGCACCTCCAGCCTTGTCTTACTACATACTGAGACTCGAGAGCTCAACAATTTCAACCCATCCGGTAGACGCCACACACTGCGGTGGTTTTCGTTCCCTCACCCAAGTCCATGCCATCCGGGCCCGGCGGGTGGAGCAGACCCTGTTCGTTGTTGACGACTAGGAGCGCGCTCGCCGAGGCCTCTTGAGCGTTCCTCGCCTTGGTGGTGTAGGTGCAGCTCCCTCTCGTCGCGATTACCACCGCCGATCCTTGGATTCAATACGAACGGGGGCGGTGGTAAGGCCAGCGTTAACACACAGAGAGGCTCGAGTTTTTGTCCTCTTCTCCGGCCATTGTCATGCCGTATGAGGCGCTCGCTACTTTCACTACTACTACTGTTGTCAACATTTGCTCCAGACTCGCGAGCGTTTTTAGTGCATCGCCATCGCCGAAGATTGACCCTTACTGCCAGATCGCAGATGAGCCAAAGTCGTTAGGCTTTTAATGTACTCTGTCGCCACCTGCTCAGCACATCTCTAAACTCAAGGGTTTAAAGCTACGGAGCGGCTCACGTGCATCATCAACGTTTCGTAGCGGCTTGCAACCGTCCAGTGGATCTGCCAGGACCAATCGCCGCATCCCGTCCGCCGGCGGCCCGCCAAAGTGAGACCTGATGCCGCCAGCGGTTTCATTTTCACAAGTCGAGAGTTAAAATGTAGCCATCGCTACGAGTCTCTAGATTACATCTGTGAAACGTTCGTTCACCTCTAGTGTTTGACGCCTCGGGGAGAATCCGGGTCCCCAGCAGTTGTGGGAGACAACAACCAAGTGAGCGGCTGCCTGGCGCTGCTCTCTTCGAACTTTGCAAAAACCCAGAGGTCGCCAAATACCACATGCACCTCTAATAAATACTGTGTATTTTCACGTGAGTATTTAAACCAGCACAAAATCAAGAATCGACAGAGTCAACATTACCGCAGAGACCTTAGGTACTGGATCGGCGCCGGCCAATCGTCGATGTACAGTCGACCCCAGGGTCGCGAGTCTCGTAGCTCCTTCTGCTCGGCCGCCGTTCCATCGTCCTTGAAGTCGCGAGTCTCGAAGTTGAGGTTGGAAAGAACCTCGGGTAGGAGCTTCAGTTCCCCGCCTCCGACATCGAAGAGGTTTGGTGGTCGGTTGTATTCTTTGCCGTCGTGGATGTACCTGTGCCTCTCTTCGTCTTCAGGGTTGGGCACGATCTTCTCCTGTTTGGGCTCTCGAATCTCAACCACGTCGCGGACACGTGCTGAGGATGCGACATGCCTGCCGTTGCTTGGATTGACGTTTTAGTAAGTCATTCCGGCACTGACGCGGTGCCCCCAGTATATGGCTGTCAACTCGAATCTTTGTCTACCGGTTTCGAAAGATATACATGTACGCGGCTACAAGATATGGCATGAACGAGCAAAGATCGCAAACCGGACAGTGGGTGTGGCGGCGCAGCTCGAGGATCTCGCAGTTTTACGAAAGGAAAACCAGTCGACTCACCCAAGTAGCAGCAAGAACGCCGCGCCTACCATCCTAGCCATCTGCGGTATGTCACTGTCCCGAGCAAAGCACAAATGAGGCAGATGATGGCTAGTGGGAGATGATGTGTCCTCGGGAGGGACTCCGCGATTCGAAACTACCCTACGCCTTTCTAATCGTTCACGGTAACATCCGCTGACCCCCATAGTATGAGCAAAAAGCGTGGCCTATGAGCAGCGGCGGCTCGCCGCAACATAGTACAAAATATTCATCTACCGGTCGAAAACCATGGTGCTGTCGCGCCTCATGTTCCAAGGGAACAGCAGAGGAGGATGCACTTGGGATTCCGTGCCATGCTTTGCGCATCCGTATACCCCCATGGTTTTTCAAAAACCGCGGGCCCCCTCTTTCACGCGATCTCTTCCACCGCCACATCATGACATACCGATTTGTTTCCTGTTTCGCCTTGACAGCAGTGTCACCATGTCCGACGCTGCGACCAAAGGAAGGGCGAAGTCAGGCGAGAAGGGCTCACCCAACGTCTCTTCCACGAGCTCGTTCTGGTGAGGTTTGTGTGGACGTGCCTTAACTGGTTTTCACCGAGATGCACAACGACCATTAAACGTTTTGTACATTTCAGTAGTACTAAATGCCAACATGATCACTTAGCCTACGACCTCTGTCGATCGCATTCACTCTCTTTCTCTCTTTCCAAACCATCCTAGGTGAAAGACGCACATACCCATGCTTGGCTAGCGGCTACTCTCCGTTCGTACCCCGCAACCGCTGTCTTGCTCTCTAGAGAAGAGAAGTAACCAGAAACGGGTATACCCGCGGGTGGATTATCACAATTTCAGGGGACACTTGGAAATCAACACGACACCAATCTCCGACAGCATCCGCCGTAGATCGCGGCGAAACCAATAAACCGCTGTCTGTTTCCTGTGCCTCGGAAGCATGATGCACGAGGCAGGTCGTGCCCGTTTTTCTCTCTTTCTCTGCCTCTCTCTCTCTTTCTCTCTCTCCCTCTCTCTCTCTCTCTGTGTGCTTTTACTGATGAGCACCACACCGAACGAAATCGCGCGTCAAGCGAGTCTGACCCTCTGTCGACAAGGGCCGGTGCCCATCAACGAGCGAGCGTTGTTGATGGTTTGGTTATGGGTATGTATGTACGGTACACGGTATGTGCGGTACACGTTTTTTTCTGCGGGTTTTATGCGACAGCGTCGGGCGCCGGAATTATGTGACAATTTCTGGGTATAAAATCGTTCTCTTCCGGGTACACAAGTAACCAATATCGGTCACACCAGAGGGTCCTCCAGCGGTAGTTGTACCCGATGGAGGTTTCTTCCGAAATGGGTACGATGGTTTTTCGGCCAATCAGCTGACAGCCTGGGGGTGCAAGCGTGCTGATTTCTAAGTGTAACCTAGAGTGGTAATACAGCAGTACCCGGGTTCACCCGTTTCTGGCTATCGGTCGCTCGAGAACTCCAACATACAATTTTTCCTTCAAGCTTGCAGCAGATGTCTCTCGCGGCTACTGTTGCGGCAATGTCTCTCGCGGCTATCGCGGCGATGCACAAAACAAAACAATGCAAAGATGACACCTTGTTTATGAGTTGCTGGTGTACGCTGTACAGCAGTAGTTGGGACGCAACCATTGAACTAGCACCCACAGAAATACCTGCTCTGCACAACAACTATACATTAATTGTAATAGTTTTTTTTTTGTGAAAAGTGTGGCTCGTTAGGGGTACGCTTTTTGTTTTGTTTTGCAAGAAAGAAGCTGTTTAGAGGGATCGTGTGTGGAGTATGTGCGCACGAGAAAAATAATAATTTTCATGCACAGGGGCGTGAAAATTTCGCCATGGCTGTCTGTCTGGTGTCTGGTGTCTGTCTGCGCGCCCTAAATACCCAGCAGACTCGAGCCCATTTCACCATCTCGGCACCAAATTGCAAACTAAAACTTGCGCACAACAAGTAGTATTTTGCCCGAGCTGTCCCAACCGCTACCTTTGCAATCCGTGGTCGGTGTCTCGAGATAGTACACCGTTTGTGCAAATATATATGTCTCATGGACGCATCCCCGGGAGGCGTTATTTTTGTTTTTTGGGCAACAAACTACACGCACGCAAGAAACCACGACGCACTGCCGTGCTGCACACACTGCTGCTGCTACTGGCAAGACACACACTACACAGAGACAGGGAACATGGACAAGGGGGGCGGGACACACACACATACTGCTGTTGGCGACGGCGGAGGAAGCGGGGAACATTTGGTTGGTCTGGGGTTCATCGCTGATGATGTTGTTGTTGTTGTTGTTGTTTCCGTTGTTTGTTCTTGTTCAACGCTGCCGGCCTTTTCGCCTTTTCTCTGGAGAGAGAGGGAGTCCCACCAACCAGCGTGTGTTGCACACACCACACAGCGAGAGCGGGACGGGAGCAGGGTGTGCCCTATACTACTGCTGCTGTTAGCTTTCGGCGGAGGAAGCGAGAGGAGAGATATTGATTGGGTCTCT